ACAGATCCTTATGGTCCGAGCTCCATATCCATTTTGGGGGACGTTAGTCCGGTTCCTTTCCACTGGCAAGTCAAGAATTGGAATACGTGGTGAACACCTTCACACTTCCTTCCGCCTGCCGAAGAAACCCTGACCGGCATTGTTTGTTTTTGTTCAGGAGGATTGACTTTCAGCTTGCCCTACCGCTTTTCCTCTCAGAATCCATTGTGGTTCTGCGAATATATTGTGTGAAACAAGAAAAATGAGAGTTGTCTGTCTTGTCGATACTAGTCTCAATTTGCCATTCACAGGGTTGTATTCCTTGTAGTCTTTGCATTGTCCATTTCTTCCATATAAGTTTGTTGTCTCGCGTTGTTGCAATCTTCTTCTGCAGTAGCCAGTCACTCAAGAAAATACGCCGCTTGCTAGCGAACCTTTCTGGTCTGACTTTCGTGGCTAATGTCACCTCCCTTCATCTACATTGAATCTTAGTCTCCGCCATACTCAGCAGTAGGTCTACATTTCTCCCCTCGCCATCTCTGTTCCCTTGATTGTCTTGGCGCATCTCCTGTTCTAGATGGTCAAAAAAGTGAGCTTCCTTAGCAGGTGGAACCAGACCTCGTTGTCGTCTCTGAGATTGTTAGGCGTGTTAGATAGGAGTAGGATGCTCTGGGGGTGGTGGCGGGGGGTGGTGATGGGAAAAGAAGTGACCATAGGTCTCGGACCTTGTTCCATATCCAGGCTGTTTCAGTGCAGTACAGGAGGCAGTGAGGTATGTCTTCTGATCTGTTATCTTTGCACGTAACACATAGTTCCGAGTTGTTGGGGTCCGTGTGTTTCCTCGTCTTGTGGAGCCACAGGTTGACAGGCAGAGATGCGTGGGCTACGAACCACTACATGCTTCGGATCCTGGCTGGTCGGATGGGCAAATACTTCATCCAGGGGATGGAGATGGGGTCCGTTGGCTCTAGTTTCAAAGTCTCTCTCCATGTTTTTTTGGGTTTGGGGTCCGGGTTTGTGGTCTGTAGGCCTATGTCATATCCGAATTTTACGTCGTATTCGGATATCATTCTCGTTACCCCGGATTTACCCTGCTTTCAGATCCACTCTTTCGGTTCAAATTCGAGGTCTGAAATGTTGAGGTCCGGTTGAAAGATTATTCAGGGTTTGGCCTTTGGGACCCTCACTTTCATGAGTAGGAAAGATTCTAACATCTCGCATTGCGATTCCTTGCTTAAGATTTCCATCTCTATTCTGATTAGGTTTGGGAAATGAGTATACCCCAGTCCCCATATTTCTTTGAGAAGTCCTCTCTTAATAGAGAGCCTCTGTGTTGGACTGCTCTGCTGAATCTGAGTTATTTTTTCTATGAGGGAGTGACAGCCTTTTAGTTTGTTTCAGAGCTCCTGTTGGGTCAATCATTGTCCCTGAGCTTCTGTCAATGGGTGTTTCACCTATCACACCCTTTCTTCCACCCAGGATAGCCATCTTTGATCTTTTGTGCTTAATGTCCAGAGAGAGCCGCCCGGGTCTACAATCTAGGGCTTACAGGAAAGGGTTTGTCTCGCGACCTCTTCCCTGTTTCCTGGTGAACCGTGTTTGCTCGGCATCATTCTTCACCAGGCTTTGAGGGTGGGAATTCAGTTTGGATTAGACGTTGGGGTGGAAGGTGTCACAGGCTCAGTTGGGGTTTTTCTGCGTGGTCTGCCTGATTTGATTGTCCAGTCTCTTGCCATTATCTAGAAAAGACCTCTCATATTCGGGGAAGGAGTTGATCGGTGCTAGATTTCTGATGTGGTCTGAGGCCATTTTGGTCCGTAGTAGGAATTGTTTGATCAGGATCTTGATAATGCATTTTATCTATAGTGCTATGGGTGAGTAAAGCACACAACACAGAGATAAAGTCCGTGAAAGTGACAAAACTTTATGAGGTAAGAAGCAAAAACCCAAGAGGTCGCAACAACGACAACTTGAGAACTCCCTTCTCCTCCCKCCAGTCTTCTCCCTCTTTAYACACCGCCCCGAACCTGGGAAAGTCCCAGGAGTCATGTCAACCAAAGAGGACTAAACACTAGTCTAAAGCTTCTATATATAGTAAGCTAGAAAAAATCATCACACAACAAACTGGCCGTCAGTTTCCAAACGTGGTCCCAATTCCTCGCGAAGTTGCTCAATGCCTTCGAGAAGAACCGGTTGCAGAAGTCCTTTGCTCGGTACTCCCTTCTGAACGTCAAAGCCTGGCCTGGAATTCGATCACGAATCGTAGTATTCCAGTCAATACGGTAAAGCCAGCCCATAATAGGGGCCAACTTCTGCTCTCTGCAGGACCAGAACCCAAAATCCTTCATCAGTCCTTTTCAGGTTCAAGGCACTTGGGTAGCAGCTTTCAAAAGCGTTACGAATCTTGTTTGCCCTGACCATGGTACGTCCATCCCGTTTTCGGTAATCCAAAACGATGGATACTTCATCCATGAGTCGCACACCATATACCTGTCTCCGGTCATGTCCCAAGGAGACCAGAAACCGCCACTCAGCATGCGCACACATAATGCATGCGAGTGATGGAATGGTGCTCTTTCCCATTGGGATTCCAAGGACCTGTCGTAACATCACATTCGTTGTTGAGGTATAGGTGTGGGTCAATTCAAAATCCACAAAATTGCGTATTTCCGTCAAAGTGACTTCCCACCAACCTGCATACTACATTTTTCCAAAAGAAGCGCCCTTCCCTCTTGGATTCACCCGAATTACCTCCTTATCACAAAAACACCCCAAAATCCAATCCAAAGCAAAGCGAATCTTGTGGTGTGGTAGCCTACTAAACATATCCTTTATGTCATAGGAGGCTGCCATTACCTTCGCATCACGGTAAGATCGTTTCATACATGAGTTAGTTTTCCTCAATCTTTCGGCAAGGCTCCCTACACTATTTAAATTGAAATGCGATCCATCAGGTAAGGAATTCAGAAGCAAATTCAGGGGTTTCGCCACTTTCCTACAAACATGGTTCGTTGGTTCCTCATAGGTCGGGCATATGGGCCTAAACCGAGACAGATCTTTCTGCTTGGGCAGAACATATGCACGACCTACTTTTCCATTTGCCTTTCACTTTCCCATATTCTCCAAACCCCTTCTCTTGTAATCTGCTCGTACCTCATTCCAAATCCGTGTCTCCTTCGTAGTAGCTACATATCTAAAGTTCTCAGCAAAAAGCTCATTCATAGCATCATAGTACAAACAAGGGCACATCACAACAATCTCTCCCGGATTACGGTCCACGAGCGTGAACACCGACGTCTGAAAACGAGTTCACAGCTCTAGGACATCCTCCAATGGAATGTCACCAGCCTGCCTGGAAGTCGCATTGAAGCAACTCTCCCCATCTTCCTTGTTAACTGATACCAGGAATTTCGGCCCTGGTCTCCAGTTCGAGAAACTGTCCATGATCTCCTTCGTCAACTGCAACACTCGGTGAGACTGTCGGGCTCGGGGTATGTTATTCGAGTTCTACATGGCACTTGGAATCCCAACAATATCACCCAAACGACATATGACATGACCTTCAACTCGAGGTAAGTCGTAACCCATGCAAGTGTAGGCCTGCACATCCTTGATAGCGGCCTTACGATGATTACATACGATATCAGCGATGGATCGGTTCTTCACCCACACCGCCCTGACCTGTTTCTTATAGATGTCGCTTCCAAAACTCGAAAAATCCAAGTTATCGATCTTATTGTCACACACCCTCCTTACTCCAACGAAGCTCACACGATCATCAAATTTCACACGTACAACCAACTGAGAAAACAAACTCAAACAGTACCCTTTCTTAATAGCCGCATACAAAATTCTCTTCAGGAACTATATAGTAGTTTTCTTACTAAACTCCTTGGCCAACCCTACTAATTCTAACAATAAACATAAATCCCTCTGGAATAGCATGTGCCGTTTCTGAGGGAGTCGGAGAATCGTTGTCAGAAAGGAGTGTAGACATTTAGAGTGTTTTTTCCGCTTTTTCGGATGTAGGAACTGAATTCTCTTTCCCTTCTCAATCCAACTCTTACATTCCTTAAAGCGACAAATCATCCCTTCAACTTTCACATCCGAGTTTCCAAACAGCCTATGTATTATTTTCCATTTATCACACCACACTGTTCCACCCTATGAAAACAAATTAAATCTACGACTACCTTTCTTCTTCGCATCACACAACACTTGCAAGACTTTCACTGAACCGGCTATCGAGTCTTCGTGTCTAACCCTCACTACTTCCGTACTTCCATGTGGTAGTACTATCCTGCGTTGTCCTTTCTTTTGCTCTTTTTTTCCCTTCCTTCCCTTTCTCCTCTGCTTTTTTTTTGTCTTTTTTTTCCCTGGATGTCCCTGTTAATTCAGACCAGGAGACCAAGTACATATGTATAAGGCCTCCAGGCTGATAAGTGTGTCCGCATGGTCTTGTCGGATGGGCATCAATATATAACCCTGAACTCCAAAATTTCCCAGCTACCGATGAAAGTGGGTTGAAGAACTATCAACCTCTATCGACTTCTTCCTGTGTTTCGACCAACGAAGATTAAGTGCCCTTTCTGTTTTTCCAATATAAGTAGCTTTGCACCAAGGAGAGATACCTCCGTAGACAACAATTAGGATCATCGAAAACATTGGTGCCATTAATTATCAAATTGTGCCAATCATTCATAAATTTCGACAGCCAGCGAAGGGCTACCACCGCCCATCTAAACAGTGCCTCTACCTTTTTATCGATCGGTGTGTTACCTCGTGGAAGGTTCGACAAAATCCTGCAACATTCCCAGAGCTCAGCGGTAGTACAGCCACATCGTTCCTGCTTCTCTTTCTCGGAGTCTTTCAACTCATCCGACTCACTCGACTCTTCGGTCTTAGAGTCGCTATCCTCAAAGCTAAGCGGTGGGTCTGCTGACTTAGCCTTACCCATTGCTGCATAACTGGGTCGTTGCGCCACGCCCAGTCCATGTTCGTAAGCAACCTGAGCTCTATGCTCTGCCAAAGCTGCTACGGCCTGCCCTTTCCTCACGTATATCACCCCCTCGCTTTTACATAATCACTGTACTTCACGGTAATCCAAAGCTTCGAGGTACTTCTCAGTGTCCTGGATGAACTGCTCTCGTGCTCCTGGTCCCAATCCTGCCGATGCCCCTTTCAACGAAGGATCGTTCTTCTCTTGTAAGGCCCTCATGGTAATAGGCTTCAACGAAGTCTTCATCTTCTTACTTGAAGTAGGTGGCCTTCCCCTCCTCACTCGACTTTGCATCAATGGAGTTGTGGTCGGACTGGACTCAGATTCTTCCTTCTCCGTAGTGATGACTCTCTTCCGCTTATCGAACAGTGCTAAGTTTTCCGTTCGTTGGCTGATATCCAAGATCGCATCGTCTGATTCGGATACCGAACTCCCTCGGTAGTCGCGACGCTTCCACGCTGCTCTTTGTTCCCGTCGACGTCTGCTTCGAATTTTTCCTACCTCAGGTGAGTATTTACCTCCCATATACTCATGTCTCTTACCGTATCTTTTTGAGAACTGGATATTCAAGATTTTCGCCAGTCTCTGGTCGTTCTCCTCCTGTTCCTGTTTTCGCTTTTGTTCCTTCCTCAATCTTTTTCCTTCTTTCGCGATTCTCTCCTCTTCCAACCTCAGTCTATCCTCCTTCTCCTGCTTCTTCTTCGCCTTCGCTTCTTCCTTTGCCACCAGGAGTGTCACAAGATCCTTCACGCTATATGATCCTCTGCTACCTCGTCCTTGTTCGTACGAAGAAGATCCACGTATCTGCTCCCATCTTCGGTTCGGCGGGGAGACTGTTCGGCTTTGCGGTTGCTTGGATCCATCCCCCTGTTTAACTTTCAGGGCTTCATACCGATCCTTCCAACGCATCCAATAGTCGCGTGCGTAATGTCCAAGTTGCTTGCAACTGTAACAAGTAGGCGGGCCCTTTCACGGTGGCTCCCTACTTCCACCTTCGTTCCCTCCTTGTTGGCTGGATGACGCCATCACGTACCAAAAAACATACGCCTCGTCCCGTCGTCGACGACAAACGAAAAATCGTAATATCTTCGGCAACTTCCAAATACTTGACCACCATATGAAGTGTCGTCCCTCTGCAGGTTACCAAGGGATTCAACATAGGTGAGTAAAGCACACAACACAGAGATAAAGTCGGTGAAAGTGACAAAACTTTATGAGGTAAGAAGCAAAAATCCAAGAGGCCGCAACGATGACAACTCGAGAACCCCCTTCTCCTCCCGCCAGTCTTCTCCCTCTTCATGCACCGCCCCGAACCTGGGAAAGCCCCAGGAGTCATGTCAACCAAAGAGGACTAAACACTAGTCTAAAACTTCTATATGTAGTAAGCTAGAAAAAATCATCACACAACAAACTGGCCGTCAGTTTCAAAACGTGGTCCCAATTCCTCGCGAAGTTGCTCAATGCCTTCGAGAAGAACCGGTTGTAGAAGTCCTTTGCTCGGTACTCCCTTTTGAGCGTCAGAACCTGGCCCGGAATTCGATCACGAATCGTAGTATTCCGGTCAATACGGTAAAGCCAGCCCGTAATAGAGGCCAACTTTTGCTTCCTGCAGGACGAGGACCCAAAATCCTGGCCGGTTCGAAAAACCAGGCTGGAAGAGGCCCAGATCGTCGATTCATTCGTAGTATTTTGAAAACAGTCTAGGTATTGGAAGGTTGACTTCGCTTCCACTCCGCACCCCAAAAAATCGCAGGTTCCTGAGCCTTCATCAGTCCTCTTCAGGCTCAAGGCATTTGGGTAGAAGCTTTCAAAAGCCCTACGAATCTTGTTTGCCCTGACCATGGTACGTCCATCCTTTTTCCGATAAACCAAAAAGATGGATACGTCGTCCATGAGTCGCACACCTATGCAGTGCTATGGACTTTGTTTGGGGTCTATTAGACGCAGACCACCCTCCTGCAGTTTTCTGATGATGTGATTTGAGGCTGCCCTGTTGATGCTCGTGGTTTTGTTTGGGACTTTGATCCACATACACAAGCGGTTAACAGAGACGCCCACGTTTCAGCCCTGGTTAACCCCCTCTTGCTCTGTTTTTTTAAGTTTTGAGGTCGTCATCAAGGGGGGGGAGCAGATGGATGCCATATACCACAGAGTGGAGAAGATTGTTGTATTTATAAATAGTGCTATTCTTATTAGAGAGGCTTGAGCATTTTTGCACAGGGTGAAACAAGTAATTGCCCTAGCGAATAAGTTTGAGCCTATTCCTGGCCACACACCATTTTTGTTTTCCATGATGCCAAGAAATTGTAGTGCTTGATGACCAGAAGACCAAGACATGGGTGTGGATGTGTCTGCAAGTTGGGGTGGAGTGCCGTCTGCTAGCCACCATCCTTCGGTTTTACCCCAGTTAACCTTTATTTCTTATGCCACCATTTTCACCCAGAAATAATGCTCGGGCGTTTTCAAGAAATTTTGTAAATAAAATATGTTGTCCAGAATTGCAATGTGACTATCTTTCGGTTGAGGGTCACTACATAATTCCTTATAAACTCAGAAACCGTGTAGCACACCGAACATGTTCGGTGCCCCACCGAGCATCTGAACATGCGGGAAACGAACATGTTCGGTCGAGCACAAAGTAGAGGGTATAGGGGTCATTTCGGCCATTCCGGTCACCGAGGGGGCATTGTGGGCGGCCACATGGATGTGTGCATGTGTGTGTGATGATGTGTGTGAACACATATTGCGGACGCTTCATCACATAACAAATACATGCTCTATCCCACCGTCATATCTCGGGATACACCCCATTGGGACCCTGATAGATTTCATTCGTTTCCACAGATTCCATCACGTATGTAAAAGAAGAAGGTGTGAAAGAAGGATCCGGTGACAACGAACACCAGGGCGTAAAAGAGTAGGGAGCTTTATTACCAAAAAACAATCCTACTGTCCATTCCACCATAGAAAATGCGTATGCTACAAATGCATATAAAGCAAAGTTTAAGATCACACGGCAGGCAGAAGGTCACAACATTCAAATAAATCCCAACACAGCTAAAGGAATTTTTTTCTAATTAAACCACCAGTCGACATACACCCCTGGAAATTTTTCGGACTAGGGGATCCTCCCAGACAAGCTGCTAGGATTCAAATGTGTCTATCAAACTGCAGAATGCTATTTCTCTATGATAATACCCGGGAAAAAAAGACTCAGAGGAATATTATTCATAGTTATCATGAGACAAACTCATTCACGACTTCAAATACTCCCTCGATTTGAAACTCTGATTGATTTTAGGAATCGAATATTACTCATTAGTCCAGGTTCTACCAGAAGAATAGGAGTAACACATAACGAATGGACCAACTCACTTCAGAATCTATGCTTCCACGCACTCAATCTCCAAACAGTGATATCACTCACGTTCCTGTTTAGTTTCTCATACCACCAAGAGGGCTAAAAAAATCAAACACAACCATGCTACGTATGCCTTCCAGGTTCCGTCACATCTCGCCTCTCTTCAACAAGTAACGATCAAAGAATATAAACCCCCCACCAGAACAAACATTCACCCTCGCTCTACCATGCTAGATCGTCGCATCTCATTATGACATCGATATCATCGTCGCACCATCACCCCACAACAAAGTAGCACGTCACGAGCGATCCTCACGACATGCCTCAACTATACAACCCCTTGCTCTCCCCGTGCCATTCTACACCCAGTCTCCTACATAGTCATCGTCACCCCATACTCCGCCCATCTGCCTCGTATGCCAATCATTTCCCACCGATACCCTGCAGATCGCTCACACGCGAAACATCATCTTCAGGACCACTCGTGGCTGCTCAGTAGGACTCCGCAATCTGTCAGCAACGAACATTGCCCGAAGTACAAAAAACAAACCCCTCAGGCAAACGCACCAGATAAGAATCGAGGAGAAGGACATTTGATAGATGAAAGAACCCCACATTCCCCCAATCATATCGCAAGCAAACACTACCCTTCGCAACCAGGGTTTCGACAGAACAAGAAGCGCAACACAAAACAGTCGTAAGTGCATTTCACAACCACATTTATTATTTTACTAGGTATCTCCAAACAAAGGTTCTCAGAGTAAGTGTCACTCACCATTTTACCACACTACGGGTAGATGAGAATCCTAAACGTTACATTAGGCTAGGGTGGTGGCAAACATCCTAAAACATGTTTTTCGCCAGTCTTGCCACTGACATAGCTCATTAGAGGAACAATATAAGAGCACATAACATGACGTTAGGAAGGCATAACTGAGAACCATTAACCATAACTTGGGTACGTGAGGGGAGAGGGTGGGGGGTGGGGGGAGGGGACGCAGACAATCAACATTACCTCTGGTTGTGGCACGGTAGCTTCTACCTCTGCGAGGTGAATATCTAGCATTTCCTCAAATCCGAAAGGAGACTCCATACTGGTATAAGCAGACCCTTTCGTGAACTTAGCGAAACTGCATTACGTGGCGTGCGGACGATTGCCACACCAAAGGGGACCAGTGATGCCGATATCGAGAGTGTTGCCGATATGGCGAGGGACAACCTTGGCAGGGACCCGAAGGGTCGAGCAGAGAACTCGAAAGCGACAGACGCGCAGGCACGAAACGGAGAATTCAGCAAAGCAACACTTCGGTATCAGTGGCAAAACCCTGGTCCTGACGGTTAATGCGCTCTTGCACGAAAGACCGCAAAACGACTTTCCCTCATGCATGACCGCATTAACCCGATGTCGAGCGCATCGGTCCGACACCACTCAGAGGTAGCGCGGGACCCTCCCGACCACGTCACGCAGGAGTCGGAATACAACCCTTATTGCGATACACTCGTGGAGCTTCCGTAAGCCGCTCCGACCGGGTGCGCCAGCCATACCACTCGCGATCCCTTACGACAGGACAGGGCCTACGCGAGGCACGACTACCTCCACCTTACGGGAGCTGTCACCTCCCTTCGGCGGGCGTATCCCCGCCGAGCTACCAGTCCACAGTACGAGAGCTGATGAGCTGCAATCGCAGAGGTGGACCAGCCAAGGGCATTTCTCGTTCGTTGTAGCATAAGGGGTACGCGCGGTACTACGCCTCTATCGGACCCGCACGTGAAACGACATCTTGGGGGGCTGAGGTCCCAAGCGCGGCTCATCGCCGGTCGACTAGGACGTATCCCACGCGCCACGCACACAGCACTGCAAGGTACACAAAAGTAAAGCACGCGTACACACGCACACGAGTACTGAACGACACAAAGGACGTACAACGCGACACACTCCTAGTCCCTTTGTATCCAACCCATAACTTCACGCAGTGGAAGTCGGTAACTGCCGTACGCGAGGTTTTGTATAAGATCGCTCGAACGTAGGATCCACGCATACCAATTCACTATGCAGCTCTACGTGAGTAACTGCGATAACGGCGCATTATGTGGTGCCCATACCCAAATGGCCTATTCTGAGCCATGCGGTCGCTTCCGATGCTCAGGCGTCGGCTGACGTGTGCGCCAAGAGGGGGTAACCCTTTAGCGCGCGCAAAACCGGCCTGAGGGTTTTACCGCCTTCTGCACCCTGAGGTGTCCCAAAGGGTGCGGGGCAAGATGGTCCCTAGGGCAGGAAGGGCTTTGGAGCGGTGGTGAGTTGTCTGGCGCATCACCAGCGACACGCTGATCCTTCCACCCGGAACTTTATCGTTCCACCAAAATAAATCCCAACAAGGAAAGTTCCTTCGACTTTTATCGGAAGTGAACCTTTTCAGAGCTAGTCCTGGGACCTGGGTCGTCCTGGGCGAGGACCATCGTATTCTAGGCTCAGGGCTAACGTCCGGCCACAAATTCCTTCCGAAGCGTATATATAAATAGAGGGGTCATCCTTTCTCTACTAGCCCAACCCCTGATTAACTCCTTAGCACGTGGTCCCTTCAGACTACACAAGTACCCTACATAGGTACGCATACATACTCATATGGGAATGAACGTGTGACGATCACATCTCACAATCA